TCAGTAAACCCGGGCCAAGTGTGCGAAGGAACATTAATTTTATAGCCCTGACATTAGAAAGCAGCCAAATTAAATACAGTTTAACACTAGTCGCACCTACAACAGGGCTTGAGTAACTGCCGGAGGAGCACAGGACGGGTATGTACGGCCTTTAGCGTCAATGTAAATCCACTCCTCTGTGACAAACACTCACCTCAGCCCCAGAGGCCACAGGGAGGTCGATTAGCTGCTCTTGATAAATTAAAAGGTGGCTTTAGAGGAGTGCCAGAGCCCGGGCGCCCTGCTAAAAGCATTAAATATGCAAAGCGGGGGCCCTTTTAGCGGCTGCCTTGCATTTGAAGATAAATGCGGCGCTTGAAGTGGCTGTGAGGAATCAGAAAGCTTCTTAATCCCTGAGAGCCGGGGCAGGGAGGCAGGGAGGCAGCGCGTTGGGCCCTGGGTTTCCGAACCTTTACAAAAACACATTAACCCGAAGTGGCACAGAAGACAGATAGACAAGGGGCTCAGGCATTACTTTTCCTCCTCTCCACTGCACGGTTTGTAACAGAGACGTGCCCGATGCAGCCTCAGCACTAGACCTGTCACGAGAACAAATTCTGAAGTATGATAGAGGTAGAAAACTATCACCATAAATGATAATATTCAAACTACTACTTCGTATCACTAACTCAAGGACCCTACAACAGGATAATCCCGGTAAACTTTCTTCTAAATGGAGAAAAGTGGCCAGCAGTTAAAAAATGGCACAATTAAACACTTGAACTCCTCAATGCCGCCTTTTTCCAGTGGAGAATCATGTCCTTGGATTTGGAGGAGCTGATTTTCGTCCCAGTCGCTTCACACTCAGCTGCAAACTGCCCCAGCACATTTTGGAGGTCCTGGTTCGATAGAGCCATCAGGAGTCGAAAGCTCTTGATTTACTGGTTAATCTACGTTCCTACTCTCCTCCACTTTAGAGATAGAATGAGGAGTTCAGCCACATGAGCCCAGGGTAGAGACGCTGCTCCTCCTTTTAGAGAGGAGCAGCTGAGAGGAGGGCATCCGCGTCCCCAGGGAGGTGTTCTGGGTTTGTCCCATCGGAAGAAAGTCCCGGGATAGACCCTGGACACACTGGAGGAACTGTGTCTCTGGGTTGTGCTGGGAATGCCTCAAGAAGAACTGGAGGAAATGTGGAGGGAAGTCTGGTGGAGTGGAGAGGGAAGTCTGGGCATCTCTGCTCAGACTGCTGCCTCCGTGACTCAGCCTCGGATTAAGTGGAAGAAAATAGATGGATGGACAATTAAAAACTTTAGCAGTGAGTTCTAATATCTAAAATGAATCATATGCAAATTATTCAACCAACTACAGCTACAAAAGTTATTATATACCGTATTTTCCGGGCTATTAGGCGCTCTGGATTATAAGGCGGACTGTCATTAAATGGTCTATTTTTGAACTTTTTTCACAAATAAACCACATCGGACTTTAAACCAAACACAACAGTTGGATGGGTCAGTGGTTTTGTTTGTTTGTGGCGTTCACGGTGACTCTGGGCTTTGTTCAGTTGTGGCGTGTAGGGAGGGTGCTGTCTGGGACCGCTGGATTGTCGGCGTGTTCGCAGTGACTCAGTTGTTCAGTTGTGTCTAGAAGTGGCACATTGCACTCGCTTTTTCGGTTCGTTCCTTCGTTCCGTTCCTCGTCGGCGTGGAGTGATGAGTGTGTCTGTGGGTGTGTTTCGCTGTGCGGTCGCTGTCTGCTCCGTGTGTGTTTGCGTGCGCTGTGGGTGGTGCGACTTTGTAATTTACTGAAGTCGTACTAAGACACCCCAATAAATTCATATATAAGGCGCTCTGGATTACAAGGCGTGCAGTCGTTTTTTGATGGAGTTGGAGGCTTATGAGCGCATCTAATAGCCCGGAAAATACGGTAGGTTTAATAATAAAAAAAGAAAAAAAAAAAATCCTTACAAGTACAAAAAAAGGTACACGCGATAATTATTAAACCTGAAAAACGGTTGTTGTTTCTATCACATATTGGTCGATAAGTCGTTCTAGTCATGGCATTACTTTTCCTCCTCTCCACTGTGCGGTTTGTAACACAGACGTGCCCTGTGCAGCGTCAGCACTGTCTCCCTCCTCGCGCCGGAGCTGTCCAAGTCCCAGCAGAGAGAGAGGGGGGCAGGCTGGGGGCAGAGAGGGGGGCAGAGGGGGCACGAGGCTGACAGTGGGAGACAAAGAGCCCTCGCCGCCACGGAGCTGTCAGATATCAATCTTCAGAGAGCGTCTTGAGCGAGCGGGTGAGCGAGGATCGGCTCCATATCTCTGGGTGATCAGAGCGTGGGGGCCCCAGATAAGTCCCCTCCAGCGACGAGACGGGGAGAGGTATGATACTGCGCTCTGCTCTCGACATCATACTTCACCAGCTAAAACTGCAGGAAAAGCTGCGCGATCAACAAAACTGAATTGTTTACACAGGTGGGTAGTGCTTGGTAAACTTTGAAAACTCCGAGAAGTAGAATTTTGTTAGAGACTTCACTTTTATTCCTACTTGAGTAAAATATCTCTTATATGAAAGTAAAGGTTTTGTTGACACTTCCCATAAGTGACATAAACTTTAGGTTGCCAATATTAAATGATTTGAACATTTGAGTTTCTTGCACAACTCCTTCACATGAGATCTAGTTTTCCATCTTTTTTGTGCTCTAGTCTGTCCTATAAAAATAAAAAATGGTTTCTTAGTTCATGCTTTTCATTTACATCAATTTATTGTCAACAAATTATAAATGAGCTGCACACAGTTATTCTTACTCTCAGTTCATATACTTCTTAGCTTGGGTAATTTGTGGGACCATTACTTCGTCCTTCCACTTAAGTAATCTTAGTAGAAGGTACTTTTACTTTGCAGGACCAGTATTACACCATTTTCTGATGTTAAAATGTTGACAAACAGTTGCACTATGGACAAATCTTTACTTCTGTATGTTACAAGAAATTATATTTAATGGCTCAAAGCTTTAGAAAAAAATCATAGGTGTAGAGAGTAGCCAAAATTTTGTGTTAAAGGTCCTATATTATGCAAAATCTCTTGAGCTTTTAGCCATGTTATAATGTTATTTCATCAAAAACATACCCTGAGTTGTGTTTTGTTTCATTCACACATGTTTAACGACAACCTCAGCTGAGTTATTCTCTCAAACAGAAAACACTCCTCACTGTTCCACCTTGTGATGTCATGTGGCAATACAGGAAGGGCTCCACTGCATTAAACTCCAAGCACCACACTAGTATCATTTGGATCATTTCAGTCCTGGAATTGCCAATCTCTGCTTAACTAAAGATAAAATGAAGCTGTTCACTTGAATACTACTACTTCAGGACATCTCAAGGTGGAATAGAACATTTTGGCCTTTGGAGATGTGGACAAACTACCGTATTTTCCGCACTATAGGGCGCTCTGGATTATAAGGCGCACTGTCATTAAATGGTCTATTTTCTAATGTTTTTTCACAAATAAACCACACCGGACTTTAAACAAAACACAACAGTTGGATGCTTCAGTGGGACTTTGTTTGTGGCGTTCACTCTGGGCTTTGTTCAGTTGTGGCGTGTAGGGAGGGTGCTGTCTGGGGCCGCTGGATTGTCGGCGTGTTCGCAGTGACTCAGTTGTTCAGTCGTGTCTAGAAGTGGCACATTGCACTCGCTTTTTCGGTTCGTTCCTCCGTTCCGTTCCTCGTCGGCGTGGAGTGTTGAGTGTGTTTGTGGGTGTTTTTCGCTGTGCGGTCACTGTCTGCTCCGTGTGTGTTTGCGTGCGCTGTGGATGGTGCGGCTTTGTAGTTTACTGAAGTCGTGTGGGACACCGGAGTGGATTCGTGTGTAGGGAGCTCTGGATTGTGGGGCGTGTGGTCGTTTTTTGATGGGGTTGGAGGCTTAAGAGTGCGCTCTATAGTGCGGAAAATACGATAATAATAAAGGCAAACACAAATGTGTGAATGAAACAGAACACAACTCCAGGTATGTTTTTGATGAAATAACATTATAACACGTAGGGGTGTAACAATAATCAAAATATCGTGCTATCGTATCGTCAAAAGTCTCTTGATAATATCGTGGACCATCACAATATATTGAATCACAAGTCTCTTTGCTTAAATTCATTGTTATGGTGCAGCAACAGCTAAAAAAAACATAGGGAACTACATAGACTATGATCCTTTGCTCCATTTTTTTTGCAAACTACAAGAAGAAATAACAGTTCTAAGCACTTTTAAATCTTAGTTCCTTGAATTAAGTCTTGTCAAGGCATTTTAAGGGGAAAAAGTATATTCACAATTTTGTTTGCCTTCACAAAATATTGCAATAAATACTGTACCGTGAGATGTATATCATGAAAATACTGTACCGTGAGATTTGGATATCGTTACATCCCTAATAACATGGCTAAAAGCTCAATAGATTTTGCTTAATATAGGGCCTTTAACACTAAATTTTGGCTACTCTCCGCACCTTGTTTTTTTTTTTTCTAAAGTTTTGAGCAATTTAATACTATTTCTTGTAACAGAAGTAAAGACTGGACTATGGTACAACTTTTTGTCAGTATTTCTATTATTCTGTGTATATATTATTGAGACTTGTAGACTAGCAGGGGGTGTATACAAACCGATTGACTTTCTCGACGATTGAATGTCTCCACTTGTGTCATTTCAAACTCTTGAAATCAGCACTGTGATGTAAATGAGCAGCCATTTTGGTCCTATGTGATTGAAGTGCTGTTGCTCACATGTTATTTCTGCTCTGGGGAAAAGCGTCACCACCTTGGGCAACTTTCTGATAACCTTTAACAGAGTCTAAAGTGAGCCGCAGCTAATTATTTGTAATCAATAGAGATCAATCCATTAGCCTGCCCTGCCACAGAGACGCTAATTAGAGTGGACAAGGGTGGAATCTCAACCGCTGTGAGGAAATCATTACGGCTACAACAAAAGCCTTAAAACCAAACGAAAAACGCATGTCGTAAATACGTACGGAGCTTCGCACTTGGCTCTTCTTGGGCTCTGGTGACATCTCCTGAGGGATGAATTTGATTGGTCCTTTGATTTGCCTCCTGGATCTCTTGGTGCCGTCAGGGAGCGTCGCCATGGCGATGTCGGCCTCGTCACTGCTGGCCTGGTCACACTCCGAACATTGCCTAAACAGTGAAAAGAAGGACGTTTTTGCACATGTGATAGTTTTCAATGTCCAGTTTTTGGATCAGGTTTCCCACTGTTTTTCACTGACAAAATTTCAAAATTTTTCATGACCTAAAGTGAATTTGTGAAGTGAAAGTGTAGAATTGATCAGACTTTTTAGGGCTAAATATGAAATGTTAACCCTTTCTACTACTTACCTTATGGTTTGGTATTATAGTTTTTTAAAAATTCAAAATATTGTCAGTGAATTTATTGCCGTCTCTTTTAAACAAAAGGCACATACATTTGGAAATAATCATAATAGCTTAATGATAACTTAACAGAACACTAGGGGTGTAACGATATCCAAGTCTCACGATACGTTATGGTAAATGGTCACATTTTTCTATAGCGCTTTTCCACCTTCAAGGCATTCAAAGCGCTTTACAACAAGGAACCACTCACCCATTCACACACACATTCACACACCAGTGTACACAGACACGATATGATATTTATTGCGGTATCGTGGGAAAGCTCACGATATGGTGGGGAGGCTCATGATTAGGAATGTAACAATATCCAAATCTCTCGGTACGATGTTTTCACGATATACATCTCACCGTACCATATTTATTACGACATTTTGTGGAGGCTATGAACAAAACTGTTAATATGCGACTTGCTCCTCTTAAAATGCCTTGACAAGACTTAATCCAAAGACTTAAAAGTGCTTAGAACTGTTATTTCTTCTTGTAGTCTGCAGTGAAATGGAGCAAAGGATCATGGTCTATGTAGTTCTTTGTCTTTTTTTAGCTGTTGCTGCACCATAACTCTTAATTTAAACAAAGAGACTTGTAATTCGATATTGTGATGGTCCACGATATTACTGTGATATATTATTGACGATACGATGTCACGATATTCCGGTTATTGTTACATCCCTACAGAACGCTGCAGTTATGTGAAAGAGATACTAAGACCTGGAAAAAGACATTTTCAATTCCCATGACTTTTCCAGGATTTCCATGACTGTGCCCTGTTGGATGGATTTGTTCAATTTACAAGTTCTTGCATTTTCACCTGAGTAAACTTGAAGAAAATAAAAGAAAAAGCGGTTTTAATATTCTACAAAGTGTGTTAAATTTGATATCTGCCTGAAATAAATGAATTCAGTTTTTTTAATAAAGGTTACTAAATTACACTATTTTCTGATAAGTGGTTCAGACCAGGGGTTCCAAAAGCCTAACTTAAAAAAACATGCATCAGGGATTTGAGTGGAAATTAGCTCTAGTGCTACAACCTGGAACAATCAATCAATCAAACTTTATTTATAGAGCGCTTTTCGTACAAAAAAAAGCAACACAAAACAACGCATCTCTCCTGTTAAAGTTAATGTATATTGTGCACTGTCCTTTTCTCATAAATAACCAAAAAAATAAAAAAAAACATAAAAAGTGGGTAGGGATAGGGATGGGCATTCGATAAAATTTTCTGAATCGATCGTCGGGAGAATTAACGATCAATTATCGATTAATCATTAACGTTTTTATATTAAAATTTCTCATGATTATTATTGCTATCTGCACTACTAATCTGCATAAATAAATTCAACTTTATGACATATAAACATAACGACTCTAGAGCCACATCAGCCCGTTTGACATTATAATGTGTTTAATTCAGTTTTGCACAAGTTTCACAGAAACGAAACTTAAAACCGCATCGCTAATTTGCATAAACTAAGCAAAAAAAAACAGTTCTTGTGCGCTGATGCGCCATGACTCAGTGGAATACAGGTTAGTGTGACCATATTTGCGTTTGTGAAAACCAGGACACCGTACGGGGGGAGGGAGGTGGGGACTCATCACCGACATTGAGCGACTCTCACCTGGCAAAGCTTTTTCCCACTGGACACCGAAACATATGTGCTGCTTTATACACTGTGCACATGGCCTCCCACATGTCCCGACTGGAACAGAAAACGTGGAATTTCTTGTACAAGTCATCGTTAAATATGCATTTGCGCTTCGGCACGTTGCAGGCTGACCGACTGTTTGTTTCTGCTCGCTCCTTCTGAGGTACAGAGAGCTACATGTCTGGACCCCCGTTTGGTCACCCTACGCTACGCACAGCAACCTGCATTCGGTTTGTCGATTAAAATGAACGTAATCGATGAAATTCTTAATGATCAATTATCGATTAATCGACTAATCATGCCCATCCCTAGTTTGGGAACTCCAGGGGCTCAAAGGCAGTAGAGGTCTCCATAAAGGCAGCTTTTCAAAACCAATTAACATGCTCTTCTCCAATCAGTATTTACAAATATGAAAGGTTAGACTACACAATTCACTAAATTGTAGTAAGGTAAGGACTGTTACAGCAAAATAAGTTTAATAAGATGTAGCCAATGTCATGAAAATACAGGACACTATTGGAGATTGGCAACGGACCGTGAGTTTGTCTGATTGGTTAATTACAAACTGTAAAAGCGTGCGTCTGGCCAAGGAAACACTGAGCTCTGTACCATATGTTCATATAATAAATTATAAATGTTATTTTAATGTTTATGGTCCAAAAGTCTGGGGAAAGTTGGGGAATTCTTGGTTTAGAGCGCCCTAAATCTCTCCGCTAATCCTCCACCCCATTACAGATACCACTGCCACCGACTTCAGATGCCTGCTCCTCTCCTCAAAATAACTGTAGTATTTTTCACAGCACAGCTCTGTAATTATCCGATTATGAGTCTACAAATGTTGTCATCTGCACTTGTTTAACTGTCAGTCAACAGAGAGCTTTGTGCTTATTTCAGTTTGAACTCAAATCAGCGCGAGGATGCTGGAGACAGACTGTGCAGCCCAAACAAAGCCACGTTGTGTTGTGAGAGCAGCAGCTGTGTTTTTTTCCTCCTCTCATTTTCACAGTGGAGTTAGAGTGATGCTAAGTGACAGTGGGCTCGGCTCCGTAGCGCGTGGTGGGGCGTGCGGGGAAACAGATGTTGGATCTCCTCGTGCTCAGATAAAGAACAGGCCGGAGACTCTGACATTTCCACCATCTCAGCGCTTTCACCTGATAAACTCCATCTCTGCACACGGCACCTTAAAGGGCCCATACTACTCTGTTTTCCAGTCTGTGTTATAATGTTGTTGTTTCATCATCACAAACAGACCTGGAGATGTGTTTTGTTTCATTCACACATGTTTAATAAGAATATAACAATATACAAATCTCTCGGTACGATATTTAATGTGATATTTAGAAGAAACTAACATAATTGTAGATAGGACAAATTTTTGCTTTTAAAATCCCTTGAAATGATTTTGGTGTGAATTATTACCATCATAATCCAAAGAATTCAAGTAAAAAACACATTTCTTCATGTTGTTTGCACTGAAATTAATCATGGGATATGTAGTTCCTTATGTTTACAAGCTGTTGCTACTGTAAAACCATTAATTTAAGCAAAGGAACTTGTGAAAGCTCATGATGTTATTGTAATCGATATCACGATATTTTACTACTACATGGCTAAATTGAATAAACTAAGCGCTCAAAACAGCTCGCTATTGTCGGACTAAAGGACATGACTCAGTGGAATATGAGTGTTATTTCTGTGACAGAGGGGTGTTCTGCTGATGGTGAGTCTGTTCTGTGCTTCTATCGCGTTGGAGATGGTTCATGTTAAACTTTTCAGAGATTATACGTCTGCAGGTCGTACACACAGACCGTATTTATGAATGGAAATATATTCTAGCCTCTTAGTGTTTTGGCAGTGAATTACTTTGCGGTGCATAGACCTACATCACCGTATCAGCGTTTTCAGGAGTCCACACAGTGCCGGATCAGATCTGTACTCAAATGAATTCGTGGGAGCTGACAGCACCAGATCGTTCCGTCTCTAGGAGCCGTTTTCAGTCAGATTAGTGTGGACGAACACTGCATCCACAACGAAAACGACTCGAATATGTACTAATGTGGACAGGGACCTTACACTCCATGCACCTTCACTAGAATCATTTGGATAATTTCAGATGTAAAAATTGCCAATCTCTTCTGAACTAAAGGTAAAAGGAGCTGTTAACTTGAAAGCTACCACTAAATAACATCACAAGGTGGAAGAGAGCCTTTTGAGCTTTGGAGATGGAGACAGACTAATAAAAGGGTTACTTAAACATGTTTCATATTTCAACATACTTCCACAACAGCTCAGAAAATAGCGTAATATGGGCCCGTTAATAGTTAAACGTTTTGCAAAGCTGCTTTCTCAGTCCTGGCATGAATGCAGGACAAACTTAATTCTGAATCAAACTGATATTTGTGTTGCATTCTGGAGTAAGTGTACGAGCTGGGAGTTTTTGGCTGAAGGAAGACTTGGCAATTCACGTCGTCTCATTTGGATCAAACTTGAATTAATAAATAGCAAAAGAATAGCTATTTCTTCTGATCTTTTCTTGCTTTGTTTTTAGTGTATCACACAGTTTATAAAACAAGAACTATTTTTAAAAGACAGAAAAACAACAACAAAGTATTAAAGGTCTCATATGACACTATCTTCTGATCATCATCAAAAAACATATCCAGAGTTGTGTTTTGTTTCAGTCACTCCATGTTTAACACACAATCCCTGTATATTTAGGCTGAATTTTTCCCTGCACCACCTTGTGATGTCATGTGGTAATACAGAAAATGCTCCACTGTGTTTTTAAACTCCACGCACCTTCACTAGAATCATTTGGATAATTTCAGCTCTGGAATTGCCGATCTCTGCTGAGCAAAAGGTAAAAGGAGCTGTTAACCTGAAAACTACTGTGTCATGACATCACAAGGTGGAACAGAGAATTTTGAGGTTTGGAGATGTCGACAGATTAATAATAAAAAGTTAATCAAACATGTGTGAATGAAACAAAACACTACTTCAGGTAAGTTTTTGAAGAGGTAACATCATTCTAACACAGCTTTAAGCTCACGTGAGTCAATTTAAGGTAATATAAGACCTTTAATATCAAGACTGACAGTGTTTTTTTTTTTTTTAGTCCTTCCACTTCCACTTCCACTTCCACAGGTGTTTAAAAACTCCATTACTATCATTTTAAGTTCAGAACAGAGCTGCTCTATTATGGAAAAAATCATTATCACGATTATTTTGGTCAATATTGAAATCACAATTATTCAAACGTTTTTTTTTAGTTACAGCATTTAATCTTTCTCTCAAAAAAAAAAAAACCTTTGTTATTGATAATTTATGCTATTTAGGCTACAAATATGTATCTTAGAGAAGTTTTGCGATGTATAAAACATAAAAGGAAAAAAATATACTTTGAACATGAAATAAGGCATAGAAAAACATAAATATATCCAAAATAAACTATATATCTAGCTGTTCTACAATCTCTATATTTAAACAATAAATATACTTTATACTAACTTATGCTTTATCTATACTTTATATAAAAAAATATCCAAAAATAAACTTTGCTAAGCTTTAAATCGTTTCAACTGGATTATATGAGTTTGGAGATCGACACACAAATCGAAATTGCGATCAAAATCTGATTAATTGCACAGCCTTAGTTGAGAAGCTTTTAGAAATAGTTACTTTCTGTCTAAACATACTTATAGTGGATGTGTGTGTCACTCACCAGTAGCTGTTCTTGGTTTTCTTGGGCATGCGTGTGAGGGGCGGCTCCAGACAGCCCAGGTGGTAGTACAGCTTACACGTGTCACACAGCACCAGCAGGTGTTGGTCCTGGTTCTTTTTGCAGATGCCACAGCTGGAGAGAGAGAGAGACGAGTCATTTTCAGTTGTAATTCAATAATTCCATCAGCAAAACCAAATAATAGTCGCAGTAATAGTAATATAATGGTAGTTAAAGGTGCATAGTGTAACTTTTTTGGTGAAGGGTCTGTCAAATGCTTTTCTCCAGGGAGATGTTTTTGTTTTGTCTAGAATTTTTTCACAGTATGATGTTAAAATTTTTCTATCTTCTTGGAGACCAAACCAGACCAAGTTACAGGTCAGATCTGTGGAGAGGCGACCCCGCTCACAGTCAAAATGCCTGTTTTTTTAAAGTATTTTTGAGCTATAAAACCATCCGGAATTTAATAAAAGTAAAGTAGAGTTGTTTAATGTCATACTGTGGAACATAGAAACAAATTGAGACATACCCCCAACCAAAAAGTTACATAATGCCCCTTTAATAGTAGTTAATAGTAGAGTGTTTTTTTTAAATAGACAAGGATCATTTACTCTTCTCAAAAATGTAAAGACAGTGTAAGAAACGTTTTAGCCCAAAAATAGACTAAAACAAAAGTATGATTTTCTTTTTGTTGGTTTTATTGCACTGAAAATTTGTTCCTTTGGCTATAAAATTCCATAGTATCGTATAAAACTTGTCTATCTCTACCAAGAATGGTTCAGAAGTATCGTTTTACCCATATTAAGCTTGTAACTTCCTAAGATCCAAGCGTAATATGTGTCTTACATAATGTATATAATTGCGTGTTCACCTGTAGAGAATGGCTGGGAGGCTGGACGACTTCCCCGGGCTTCCTCCTTCCTTCTTATTGGGCTTTCTTTCTTTGGGAGCCTTCAGGACGGCCGGCGTGTTCAGTTTCTGACAAAAACACAAACACATTTCTCTACTGAGCACTGGAATATGCCAAGTTACCAAACTGAAAATCTAATAGTGGTTTTCAGATTCTAAAATGTGATGATACAGCTAGATGGGGGCAAGAATCAGCTTTTCCCCCATTGTTTACATTGTACTTTTACGAAATATCTAAGAAGTCAATTCTGAAATGCTGAACCTGAAGACTAAACCCTATAACTTGCAACATAACAACAGAAATCTGCATTTTATTCATTGCACAGTATTCATTTTAGCTGGACCCCATCTGTATTAAATGAACCGTGTAAGATGTTTATTTTAAATTTCATAAACAACCCAACTGCGTCCCCAGATACGAGGTAAAACACTGGCAACTTTTTTCAGCTGTGATTGAAATACTTTATTTTAAAACAGTAAGAGCAGATATAGAGTACATATAGTTGCTTTCAAGGTGCATTGTGTAACTTTTCCAGTGGATGGCTCTTCAAATACTTTTCTCCGAGGATATGTTATTGCTTTGTCTGGAAAGTTTCACAGTATGGCATTAAACCTTTCTATCTTCAGTTACAGGTCAGATCTGTGGAGACGGCGCCGCTCACAGTCAGAATGTTTGTTTTTCTAGGTATTTTTGAGCTATAAAACCACCTGTAATTGACTAAATGTAAAGTAGAGCAGTTTAATGTCATACTGTGGAACATTCCAAGCAGAGCAATGGCAAATCCATAGAAACAAACAGGTGACGGACCCCCAACTACAAAGTTACACAGTGCACCTTAAAGCTCACAAGTCAATTTTGTGAATATCAGACCTGTTTTTTTTTAGTCCTTGAGTGTTTAAAGAGCCATTAAACACTCTCCCGATGCTTTACTCCGCCCCTAAGTAAAATCTGAAAAATCCTCCAGAGTGGGCGGTGCCTGGTGGGTTGGGGGAAGTAGGTGTGGGGCGGGGTCTGGAGCGATGATTGACAGCCGAATGACAGCCACAACAATCCAACTAGTATGCTCCGGTCTTTGAAACAGAGCGGACATTTGCGCTCGGATCACGCCATTTCTCTTTTCTCCAGACACACTGCAGTGACCGGCGGTGCCAGGTCAGGGTGGGGCTGAGAGGGGCTCCTCACGTACCACCCGTAGACACCAGTAGCTGTGCTCGTCACGTAATAAATAACCTGTTAGTCCAACATGAAAATCCAAATATCCTGGCCGTAGTTGATCCAAAAGAGGCCGTTACAGACTTAACTTTTGACTCAAATGTCTGATTTTTAACAAATAAAACACCAAAATAAGGCCAGGGATTGGTATACACTTCAATTTTAGATCCATTTACACAGCTCATCAGTAAAAAAATAGTGATTTTGGTGTTTAGTGGCCCTTTAAAAACTCCATTACTATCAAAGCAGCTGTAGAAGATATCTGCTCCGTCACTCCCACTGCAGCTGAATAAGACGTGGCTGCACTGTGACAAGCCTTGGAGCTGGGGCAGTGCGAGCAGTAAAAAAAAAAAAAAAAAAAACGCACAGTTACATAGCAGAGGTGAGGAGTAGCAGCAGATAGCCAGTTTATTCTCCCCTAGCGTCTTGCGGTGAAATGCTGGCACGTAGGTTAATTAGAAAACTTATCTTCCAGGGGCTGTAGCTGCCACCAAACAGACAAGGCTTTTCTCCCCAGCGAGGAGGCTCTAATCTGGGCATGCTCACAGTGGCCCCGGGGTGCCTATGGGAAGGTGTCTGTCCACGGGGAGGTGACAGAGGGCAGGGTGACCGCGCGTACAGGTTGGTGCTGGAAGTGTCTGCAGATATGGAGGTGCCTTAACGCGCTTTATCAGACAGACAGAGGAAGTTTAAAATGGAGATTAAAAGAAAACAGTCGGTACCAGATTGGAGCTGGTGGCTGTTTGCTGAGGGGTACTGTGTCCTCCTGAGAAACTACTAATGCCAGGGTGGTAAAAAAAGAGATCAGAATCTGCTCTTTGATAAAAAATGAAAAAGTGGGAATAAAGTTTAAACTATGAAGTGTCAAAATTAAAATAAAAGGTACTGAGAAACTGAGAAGAATATGCACCAATGTGTTCTTATGGTTTATGGTGTTATGGTCATCAAAAACATGCCTGAAGAGGTTTTATATGTCATCCATGCATGTTTGTGTAATCTAGTGATCTCTCCTGGGTCCTATTTGAACTTTCCTTACTTAAAATTCTGTCCAATGCTCCTCCCACAAGCCTACGTCACACATGTCCCCACACAACAATTCTCTATAAATATACAAAAGCATGACAGAACTGTAAACTATTTTGTGTACTGTGGTCCAAAGCAAGAAAAATAAGAACGAAGGCTTTTTGTCAAAACGTTATTTAAAAATAAAAGAAAAAAAATGTCTGGACATCTGAGTGTGTTATGCATTTTTTCACGTTTAACTTGCAGCTCCTTGCATTTGCACCTCTACAAGAACTTTGATAGTTAATATGTTGTTTTCAGTGAATACAGCATTTTCAAAACAACAAAAGGTAACATGGTGATCTAAATATGCTATGAGCTACCAGATAATACTTAAAATACTCCCACTTAAATGGCAATTCAAGTCAAAATCACATGTAGTGGTGGTGAAGTAGCAGTAGTAGCAGTAGTAGTAGTAGCAACAGTAGTAGTGGTATTAGTAGTAGTATTAGTAGTAGTGGTAGTAGTAGTAGTAGAAGTGGTAGTAGTAGCAGTATTATTATGATTATTATTAGTAGTAGTAGGTGTAATAGTAGCTGTAGTAGCAGTAGTAATAACAGTAATAGCAGTAGTAGTAGCAGCAGTAACAGTAGTACTAGCAGTACTAGCAGTAGTAGTGGTACTGGTAGTAGTAGTGGTGGTAGTAGCACTAGCAGTACTAGTACTAGCAGTAGTAGCAGTAGTAGTAGACTAGCATTAGAAGTAGTAGCGGTAGTGGCAGTAGTAGCAGTAGTAGTAGTAGTATAGAAGTACAGTAGTGTTGTAGTAGTAGTAGTAGTAGTAGTAGTAGTAGTAGTAGCAGTAGCAGTAGTATAGAAGTATAGTAGTGTAGTAGTACAGTAGTAATAGTAGTAGTAGAACCACTAGCAGTAGTAGTAGCAGTAGCAGTAGTATAGAAGTATAATAGTGTACTAGTAGTACAGTAGTAGTACAGTAGTACAGTAGTAGCAGTAGTAGCAGCAACAGAAGCAGTAACAGTTGTAGCAGTAGTAGTAGTAGTAGTAGTAGTAGTAAGTAGTAGTAGTAGTAGTAGTAGTAGTAGTAGTAGTAGTAGTAGTAGTAGTAGTAGTAGTAGTAGTAGTAGTAGTAGTAGTAGTAGTAGCACCAGTTGTAGTAGCAGTAGTTTGATCTGTACAAAGTAAACATGTTCTGAAAAGCGATTCTTGTCTTAGTTTGTCAGTTCATATTTCAGTTTATTTGTCAGAACTTCTGGAGGCGTTAGATGTGAACTTTGAATAGAATCGTATTATTATTAATATACATAAGTCGCAATGCTTGTCAGAAAAGTGCGTCTGCGTCTGATCGTGAGGGACCCTGTGCTTTCTAGCCCACCGTAACAGACTTTATACATCTTACAAAACGTCTCACACTCTTCAGTACAACAACAATGACAGTTATAATATTTAAATGAGAGCTCCGGCAAACGCTCCATTTCTGAGAAGCGTCTGGTGTCTTGCCGATCCAGGAATAATCCACTGTCTCCGTGTAAAGCCCGCTGTGTCGGGGACGTCTCTTCTCATATCAGATCAGATCAGAAGATGCTGAAGTCTCAAAGTTGTTGGGGATTCTCGTGGCCTGGAGCAAACTGATTTAGTGGACTATCAGCTCCTACGATCGGATAGAACAGCTCAGAGCACTCCCAGCCAAAATAACTCAAATGCTTTATGGCACAATAATGTCACTAATAACACTAAAAAAGGACAGACTAAATATTTAGGCTTGAGGAATATGTTTACAAAACCGTAGCATCGGTGTTGGGGGTCGACGTAAATTCTCTCGACGGGCAGAGTTAAAAAACAATAGAATAGATACGTACGCAGCAAAAACTTTAAACATTTTCAGGTTAAAGTGACTTGAATTAAGACATTTTTTGAGTAACTTTCACAAAACAAGTACAATTATCTTCCAATAGAACAAGCCTTTTGTACTTAAAATACAAAAATGCATCTTGTTACACTAAAGTTAAGAAAAACAACAACTGTTTGCAATTAAAATATGAAAGTGTTGTGTTGTTTGAATCAAGAAAGAAAGACTTTGGTAGACAATTGGTGGATAATTTACCTTGTCAAGTCAAATCTACTCAGATCAAATTAAATGAGTAATTTAAACTTAACTAAATATAACTTTTTGCAGGGACTGTCTCTGTCCTTAAACGTGGAACTAGTTAGTGGCACTTACAAAATTGCAAAATCGTCAATAACTAAATAATTCAGTTTTGAATTAGTGTCTCCTCTTGTGCGTGATAATTGTTATTCTAGTATACATGACCTGTCAATGGAAATGCTTCGTAGCAAAATAAAGAGCATCAACTGCAAAACCAAGTGTCTCACAGTGTTTATAATAGACTCCTAGGTAATATACTGTATATTACTTTAAAGAGAAAACAGATAGATACAAGTCATGACCTGCATTTCTTTGCATTACCGACACTGATTGCCAATAACATTCAAATTCACGTGAGGCTCATAAATTTATCTTAAGTTGAAATAACAATCACAAAAACTTTTCACTTTTGTAAAAAAAATATATATCAAAATGTATTTATCATTTGTGTAAACATGCAGCTATAAACCACTCTTCGTCACTATCAGTACTGGGTATTGATACGATATCGATCGAGTCGATACGATACTCAAACAGCATATGGCCCATCCCTAATGGTTATGGTCACATTTTTCTACAGCGCATTTCCACTTTCAAGGCAACAACAACAAGGAACCACTCATCCATTCACACACAGTCTCACACAAGTGTACACAGACACTGGGGGTGAGGTGGGTTAAGTGTCTTGCCC